GGGATTGTTAGAGTAACAAAAAGCAAAATACCACATTGATGGGAGAAAGAAAGTCCAAGTGGTTTATAACTTAACTACCTACTTTATTTTATTGAATAAAGTAATAAGTGGGTTTTGGTTAAAGTGTGTGCAATTTAATTTGGCATATTTAATCGCACTATGCACTTAGCACTTTGCGCGAGGCGTTCAAACCTGATTTTTTGGCTAATTAATTTTATAAATTACTTGTTGATTAATTAATCGATGTTTGATTTTTGTGAAACGACACAACCCTTTGGAAGGGAGCTGTCGTTTTCACAATAAAAGACTTCTGTAGCCAGACTTCTTTTCCAACGTTCATCTTCTTCTTCCCGTGTTCCTTTTCAAACACACAAACACAAAAACATAAGTCAGAAAGATTGCTGCTTTCGGACTTTGATTGCAGGGACTGCTGGGGGTGATTTGCCTAATTCCTACCAGTAATTCGTTGTGGGGCAAATAACACTCTAATGAGAGTGATTTAATCACGCCTTCAAGCTTTTGAATTTGTTGAGAGCATGGTGGAATTTCATTCAGTTAAACCTGGTTCAACCGGTGACTGTCATGAGACCGGCGTGCGTGAATACTACTGGTGTTATCAATTTTCAATATGTAAACAAAATGACATCGTTTTAGTGAATTTAATTAATTAACGATATATTTCATGAAATTAAAATTTAAAAGCTGACGTTATTTGTTGGCTTTAAATATAAGAGTTTGGTTGGTTATGTTAAATGTTGTATTTAACTATGAGTATTTGTTATTTTATTTAAAATCTTGTATTTTATTTAAATTTTAATATAAATTGTCATTAATTTTCTTTAAGTACATTCTTTTATTTGTTTAAATATAAATAAATACAAATTAATTGTATCACCGATCGAACCATTTTTTTGTGACAATAGATAATCATATATAAATCAATAGAAGATAGTTACATCCTGGAGTTCAGCCAGACCATGAAATCAAAAGAGCGACATGAAGCCGGGTACAATGCTAGAGCCTTTCTAGCCACCATATGGGCTACCCTATTGTTAATACGGCCAACAAATCGAACACTAAATCCCTGATGGAGATTGAAATAAGACACCACCTTTTGCAGCAAAGCAGTGGCGGATCCAGGGGGTGGCCACCCCGGGCCCCGGCCCAGCCCTCCCCTGGATCCGGAACTAGTATAGCCCTTATGAGTTTATCGATTTAACCATTTGGCCCAGTATTATTTTATAATAAAATTGTGTGTAATTAGGAAAATGGGTAAGATGAACATATTCAAATCACAACTCTAAATTTAGCCTGAAAATTCTAGCTCCAATAATTCTCATATAAAGAAAAGCAAACAATAAAACCTCCAATTTTAAAACGTAAAAGACTAAAAGAAATGTGAGGTTTATTCTCTTGAGAAATTACTTGAGCAGCTGTTGAAAATAGGAATTGATTAGTCGATTGTGTTGACATTTGCGCAACAAAATGAACGATGAATTTCTCTCCAATTGGTTAACTATTTTATCTTAAAGAGAGTATGCTATTGACGTGGATGTAAACTCTATTATTGATGAATTCACTATATTAAAATTTAAAAGATTGACGTGTACAATTGATATTGTAAAAAACAACTGTGATTTTGTTACGATATCTAATTTTCTAATGAAATGCGGCCCAGTGCTACGCTGTGTCCTGGATCCGCCGCTGCAGCAAAGCCCCCATCCTACTATCCCTTGTATCAGATTAGTTGATCTTATCAATCACCGATCGAACCATACTGATTGATAAACTCGTACAATGGAGTAATCGGGTTTGACAACCTTGAGAGTAGAGCTGGCTATTTGGAGCGGGACCGGATGAAAAACCGAAAACCGGACCGTATAACCCGGACCGGGACCGGATAGTAAATAATCCAATCCAATCTTTGGGCTTAGATTTGAGGTAAAAAAAACCGGATAAAGACCGGATAAGAGAGCTCAACACCCAAAACTTAAGGGTAATTTGCGTAAACGGTCACAAACCTTTGCACTTAGTACAAAACTTAACCAACTCCTCACCCTTGTAGGCCTTAGGCCACTCAAATTCCCACAATCTCAATATAAAATCAAGGCCGAATTGGGACCGGACCGAGTCAAGACCGGACCGGATCAAGACCGGACTGTATCCAATCCAATCTTCGGTCCTTATATTTTCAAAAAAACCTGACTGGACCGGATCAATTTGGGCCAATTTAACCGGACCAGACCGTATAGCCACCCCTACTTGAGAGCAAGTGGATAAAAAAAAAAGTTGGACGCCTTGGTGCACTTTTTTGTGTAGTTCATGCAGGTCACCGTCACAAGATATAGTGGACACTGACAGTCGAGATGATGGCACGAGCAACCGCAGAAAATCAAGTTGCCGCCTGTTATGGGCAATTAATTATTGGATCAGATCAGACCAACTTGGTGGGCTGGGCTGGGTCTTTTATTGTGCTCTTTGTGATTATGGATCAACTTACGCCACGTCCTCATTACTCTCTCCTAATTCTCTTGCCAAATCACCGGATTAAGATGGATGAGTGGTCCCATGTAGATTTCTCCAATTAGGGCAATTCTAACTTGGAGAGTTGCAGTGCAATATTTGATGAACACGAATTATCCGAATTTGAAGAATGGAATTTAAAATATTAGCATGTTTCCCTTTTAAATAGACTCGCCCTTGTAATTATCAAGTAGACATCGTGCTCAATTAGGACAAGAAAGCCCCCATTTTCCAACAAGTGTACAATGCAAGAAAGAACGACACGAATATTATTTTTTTTAAAAAATTTACCACCAATATGACGAATTAAAAAGTATTGACAAGTATATTGTGTTTTGGAGAAAAAGTTAGGCGAGACCACCTGAGACTGAGGTGCCAACACCTGAGTTTCAGGTTAATAGATGGGAAGAAAGTCCCAGGTGTTGGCACCTGAGACTGAGGTGTTACCACCTGAGACTGAGGCGTGACCACCTGAGACTGAGGTGGCACCGCGCCGAACAATCCTAATTCTAACCCTAAATCCTGAACCATGAACCCTAAACCCTGAACCCAAAACCAACGAATTTCGTATCAGTTATTCACACCACAAATGGCTAATAGGTAAGAGACATATTTATTTTTTAATTATATTATTCAAATGTTATTATGATTGTGTTTAGTTTAATTAGTGAGTTTTCCTGTAGTGATTTTAGAAGATTTGAATTAGTCGTTCGGTGGAAATCGGAGAAAGTAGAGGATAATTTGGGCGTCAAATTCGTTGGTGGTGGTAGTTTTCAGTTGACGGTTTTTCAAATGTAATAGTTGTGGTTTGAAGTAGTTGTTTTTCAAATAGTTGTTATGGTTTAAGAAGGTTGTTGTAGTTGTTGTTTTTCAAATGTAGTAGTTGTTGTTCTTGGCCAAATTATAGAATGTCCGAGTTGTTGTTTGTTATATGTTGTTCCGAATAGTTATCGCTAATAACATCATACATGAATGTAAAAATAGTTCAAAGAATAGTCCACATAAATAGTCCACATAATAGTCCACATAACACATAAATAGTCCACATACATATCCCAAATAATAATAACATAACAAAAATATAAAAAAAAATCTAACGATCATCACCACGACGACCACCACGACGACCACCATGCTGATCCACTAGATGGCCGCCGGTACCACACCTCGCTGGCGCCTGTCTGATGTCCTGGCTGAAACGACGGATTAAACCGGAAGGTCTTAGTAGGCCGAACGGGCTGTGATCGCTGTCGATCTGAAATCCGGAGCGGGTTAGGTACATCACGATGCTCACGTCGCTGTCTACGTGGCCTACGCTCCTGTCTGAATTTGTTGTTTATTTGTTATGTGGACTATTATGTGGACTATTTATCTGGTCTATTCCTTGAGCTATTTTTACATTCATGTATGATGTTATTAGCGATAACTATTCGGAACAACAAATAACAAACAACAACTCGGACATTTTATAATTTGGCCAAGAACAACAACTACTACATTTGAAAAACAACAACTACAACAACCTTCTTAAACCATAACAACTATTTGAAAAACAACAACTACTTCAAACCACAACTATTACATTTGAAAAACCGTCAACTGAAAACTACCACCACCAACGAATTTGACGCCCAAATTATCCTCTAATTTCTCCGATTTCCACCGAACGACTAGTTCTAATCTTCTAAAATCACTACAGAAAAACTCACTAATTAAACTAAACACAATCATAATAACATTTGAATAATATAATTAAAAAATAAATATGTCTCTTACCTATTAGCCATTTGTGGTGTGAATAACTGATATGAAATTCGTTGGTTTTGGGTTCAGGGTTTAGGGTTTAGGGTTCATGGTTCAGGGTTTAGGGTTTAGGGTTAGAATTATGATTGTTCTGCGTGGTGCCACCTCAGTCTCAGGTGGTCACGCCTCAGTCTCAGGTGGTAACACCTCAGTCTCAGGTGCCAACACCTGAGACTTTCTTCCCATCTATTAACCTGAGACTCAGGTGGTGGCACCTCAGTCTCAGGTGGTCTCACCTAACTTTTTCTCCAAAACACAATATACTTGTCAATACTTTTTAATCCGCCATATTGGTGGTAAATTTTTTAAAAAAAATAATATTCGTGTCATTCTTCCACAATGCAACACAATAACCAGAGAAATGCTTAAGCAAAGTAGATTAACCAGCGCCATCAAACAAGGCAAAGTGTTGCGTTTTCATGAGATTCTGACTGCAAAAAAAACCAATCTTCTAATTTTCTATATTAGCCTTAATATATCTGAGCACCCTAATGTAATTTAGTTTGGCTTCATTAATTTATATTGATTGCTTAAATTATGAAATAATCCAATTATATTAAAATTCCGATCCATTAATTAACTTCACTCATCATTGAAGTTCGAAATTTCTAATTCAGGACATTGAAAATTGGAGTACTCCCCAAGGGGAAAAAGAGGAAAGTAGGGGAAATACGCCAAAAATCTCTAATTAAAAAGCAAAATTTCTTTTCGTCAAAATTTCTTTTCTTTCTTTCTTCCCTCCGTCCTTCCCTCTTCATCTCCTCCATTCCCTCTCTGACGGACCTCCTCTCCATCTCCCGTCCTTCTCAATCTTCCCTCTTCTTCATAATTTGCAGAAGAGAGAAAAAGTATACACAATAACCCATCCATATCCTTCCGACCCGAATCCCCTCTCATCATCTATCTTCCTCCTCGCATAGCAGATCGTTCCAAGGGAAAGAGCTTCCCTCCCCAAATTTTTTGGCGGTTCCCAGATGTCATGAAGAACATCTTGTGCTTCATTTGCTCTTCCACCATGAAACCCTCTGCTCGATTCCTCATCTCCCGAACCTCCAAATCCTTTCTGGGTTCCGCCAAACACCCCCTTAGATCCAATCGAACCCACAGCTCTCTCGCCAACACTTGCCGCCCTGGCCCCGGCACAATCATCACTCCTCCTCCGCCGCCGGCTCCGGCTCGGTTCATCCCCTACAGGCTCATGTCCACCGTATTCCGCCCCGGGTTCGCGCCGCCGTCGATAGCTTTCGCGAACAGGGGTTCCTTTTGCGTCGCCTCGAGGGCGGTGGTGCGGCAGCAGCATTCTACTTCGGTGGAGACGCGGGTGAACGAGAACAATTTCGAGAGGATTTACGTCCAGAATGGAATCGCCGCCGCCGCCGCGAAGCCGTTGGTCGTGGAGAGGATCGATAAGGACGAGAACATCCGTGAGGTCGTGAGCGTGGAGGATGGTTCAGCCGAGGAAGGAGATTTGAATTTGAGGAACCCGGAAGGGGTCGAGATCGTCAGCCCTAGGAGGGAAGAGAGTGATATCGAGAAGGAAGCGTGGAAGTTGCTAAACGACGCCGTTGTGAGGTACTGCGGGAGCCCCGTTGGAACCGTTGCGGCGAATGATCCTGGGGACAAGACGCCATTGAACTATGACCAGGTTTTCATTCGTGACTTCGTGCCTTCTGCGCTTGCCTTCTTGCTCAGGGGCGAAGGAGAGATTGTCAGAAACTTCCTGCTCCACACCTTGCAGTTGCAGGTTTGAAATTTGATCATGGTGTTTGTTCATGTATGTGAATCGCTCAAATTGTTTGCTGATAGCTTTAAGGGACTCTCAATTCATTTGTTTTTAGAGCTGGGAGAAAACAGTAGATTGCTATAGTCCAGGCCAAGGGTTAATGCCTGCTAGCTTCAAGGTCAGAACTGTGTCTCTTGATGGTGACAAGACTGAAGAAGTTTTGGATCCAGATTTCGGAGAATCGGCCATTGGCCGAGTTGCCCCTGTGGACTCTGGTTAGTATGGTTGGTCCTAGGAATTCAGGATTTTGGGTTGTGATCCTTGTGTTTCTTTGAACTTTGCTGTATCTGAGAGTTCATTGATGGTATCTTTATGGCAGGATTGTGGTGGATTATTTTGCTGAGGGCCTATGGGAAAATCACTGGTGACTATACATTGCAAGAAAGGGTCGATGTGCAAACCGGCATTAAGTTGGTCTTGAACTTGTGCTTGGCTGATGGATTCGATATGTTTCCTTCTCTGTTAGTCACTGATGGTTCCTGCATGATCGATCGACGCATGGGTATTCATGGCCATCCTCTCGAGATCCAAGTGAGTTCATAAGTGGTTTAGATCGTTAAGTGCAGGCATAATGATAATATTCAGGTCACGATTTCTCACATCAAGTTTGACTTCTGGTGTTATTAGGCATTGTTTTACTCATCTCTACGATGTGGTCGTGAGATGCTTACGGTAACTGATGGCTCAAAGAATCTTGTGAGGGCTATAAACAATAGACTTAGTGCTCTATCCTTCCACATTAGGGAATATTACTGGGTGGACATGAAGAAGATGAACGAGATATACAGGTATAAGACAGAAGAGTATTCCTTGGATGCCACAAACAAGTTCAATATCTATCCTGAGCAAATCCCTCTATGGCTCATGGATTGGATACCTGAGGAAGGTGGGTATCTAATTGGGAATCTGCAGCCGGCTCACATGGACTTCAGGTTCTTCACTCTTGGGAATCTCTGGTCTGTGATATCATCACTGAGTACCCCGAAACAGAACGAAGCTATACTGAATCTGATAGAGGGAAAATGGAATGATATTGTGGGACACATGCCTCTCAAGATATGCTACCCTGCGTTAGAGAATGAGGAATGGCGTATAATTACTGGAAGTGACCCAAAAAACACGTGAGTTTCTCTTCGATCCCACTGTCGTTTCAGCTTGCAATTGGATTCCACCCATCATGAGATTCCTCTCTTTTTCTTGAAAACTTGCAGAGCTTGGTCATATCACAATGGTGGCTCATGGCCAACCCTTCTGTGGCAGGTGAGAGATCAAATCATCATCCCGATTTCCTTTCATAAAGCTCCTTGAGTTTGTAATGATGTTTATACAATAAACCCCATTTTGTAGTTCACCTTGGCATGCATCAAGATGGGTAGAATCGATCTAGCAAGGAAGGCAGTCAGCATGGCCGAATCAAAGCTTGGTGCTGACCGTTGGCCCGAGTATTATGACACCCGAACTGGCAAGTTCATAGGGAAGCAAGCTCGACTCTATCAGACTTGGACCATTGCAGGGTTCTTAACGTCCAAAGTACTGCTCGAAAATCCAGAGAAGGCTTCATTGTTGTTCTGGGAGGAAGACTATGAGCTCCTGGAGATGTGCGTTTGTGCACTGAGCAAGACCGGTCGGAAGAAATGCTCTCGTGTCGCTGCCAAGTCTCAGATTCTTGTGTAGCCTGCCAATATCCATAATACACATCCATTCATTACTGTACAGCATACAGAATTTACCTAAAGGGTCTGTCATGACCATTGAAAAGGGAGGATCAAATTTTGGAGCTCCATAGTTGTAATCCTCTCCTACATTAGTAGAGTAGCAGCAGCAGAAACTGGGAATGCTAACTACCGTATAAGGCAAGGCATGGGAGCATGTTCCCCTGTCTTCCCATTTAGCAGAAGTTGATGGGGTTCCCCCTGTTCTTCTGACATTTTTTTGTTTATCTGTTAACCACTTGAGCACCATTGATTATGAAGCTCGTTTTGTGGAGGGAAGGAAGAGTATGTTACTTAAAGGAAAATGTGTAGCATATAGTTTCTCCTCAATCATTCACTCTTTTACATTACTACTAAAATACACCTTTCATATCTGTATATTCTACATAGTGTATCCTCAATTCAATGTCTGATCAAGCAGTAAAAGAACTTCCTCTAGATCGAACTGATAACTGAATGTACGAAACAACATTCTATCTTTCTCTAATGCATTCTTCATTCTCATTCCCATACCGTCCATTGAAGCGAATCAACTTCCTTTCTCCGACTGCTTGTTAAAATCATCCTGCATTGTCTTCAACTTCTTTTTCAAATCATCTGCAAAATGAATTATATGCGCACACGAAACTCAAAGATCAATGAATGAGAAATCAGAAAACGAATTCTTGATCCATAATAGATAGATTGATGGACAAGGCACCTGAAAGAAGATGATGATCCAAGACGATTTCGATTCGCAAGTAGTTGTTTATTCTGCACCCGATTCTAAGCTCAGGTTCGAGCAACTTATTGGTCACATACGCCAGATTGCAATACGAATTTCCTAACAAACTTGCCTCCTCAATCTGTTTGCTGATGAATCGATGCAAACCCATTTTCTCTTCCAGTTTCAACAACTTCTCCTTCATTTCCAGCTTCCACTGTGGAGTGAACCAATCTAAGGGGGAAAATCCAACCCCACAATGTTAATACTCAAAAAACAGAAAACCAAAGCAGAGGAAACAGAGTAACTTAATTACTTGGTTTCTCTTCTTTCGTCGTCCCCGATTCATCATCATCATCATCATAATGCAGCTTCCATGAATCTAGGCTCTTCTTATTCTTCATCGTCTTCAGAAGAAGCACGCCGTCGACCGTCGTCTTCCTCTTGGAATTTCAAGTACTTATCCATCAATTCGTTCAGCTCGTCCTTATCCAGTTCCGAGATGTACTGTTCCGCCAATTCCTTCGACTCTGAACGCCCAAGCTATTATAACATTCAATCCATCAATCTCTGCAACTAATTAAGTATAGTAATTAATCAGTCTTCGTTTTTACCTTTCCTGGTTTCCAGATCGCCGGAGGACACGGAGGAGGAGTAGAGCCTGATCAATAAGGGACGACCGGAGGAAGAAGCAGCAGCCGCCGATTTATTATTAGGCGATGGCGCAATTGGATAGACGTTGGCGACATTACGATGCGTTGAATGGAGGAGAAGGCGCCTTACAGTTATGGGGAAGTTTCTCCTCAACATTGATCTGAGATGGTGGAGTAAGCGCCGGCGGCGAACCTGCTTATCAGGATTTTATATTGTGAGGCTTTTCACTTTTTCTTCCCAAACAAGGAACTAACCTGAAAGCGAATTTCAGCTTCGGCGAGCAAATCTAATTGTTTTACATCCCGAAAATGCCCTTCTCTTTGGGCCTTATTTACCTAAGAAACCCGAACCTTTCGGCTTTCCCATGAGCGGAGCAGATTCTCATTTGAGTCTCCCTCCACTTTCTCTTTGCTCCGAGCTTCATCTCCCGCCAAAAGTCTCAGACTCCCTAAGCTTCCACTCGGTTTCTCCACCTGTAAATGTCGAAGTCGAAGACATCCTCTTCTTCGTGGCTCCCCCAATTCAATCCCGGCGACCGGGTCGAGATCAGCTCCGACGAGCCCGGGTTCCGGGGATCCTGGTTCGCCGGCACCGTCATCCGCCGCGAGGCGAAGAACCCTAATCGCTACGTAGTCGAGTACGACAAGCTCTACGAGGACGAATCTGGTGAGAAGCTGTTGCAAGAAACCGTCGATTGGGTCGAATTGCGCCCGCCGCCGCCTGCCGAGAAGAAGAAGGTTCAGCTCAAGTTCGGCGACGAAGTGGAGGCCTTCCACAGCGACGGATGGTGGGAAGGGGCTATTACCGCCGAGCACGCCGACGGGAAATTTGCTGTGTTCTTCAGAAGTTCGAAAGAACAGATTGTCTTTGAAGAGAAAGAATTGAGGTTGCGCAGGGAGTGGGTTGAAGGGAAGTGGGAGCCGCCATTCGAGCAGCGTCAGCGGGAGAAAGAGGTGAGCTAATTGGATTTTATCGCTTTTTCCTGCTCTGTTGTTTGCTTTAACAATTCTAATGGATTCTGAATCTTGATTGTGGAAAGTAGAGAATAGAATGATTAGAGGTAGCATTTGTTCTTGTTCGCACTATCTCAACCTAATCTCTTCATAAACATGCAGAGGTCGCAAGAGAAAGCTGACTCTAGGCCAAGCAAATTAGTGAAACGTGAGAGTTCTTCTGTTAACAATGCAAAATCACAGGGGACCAACTCCACGAAAGTGGGAAAAGGGGAGAAATTGTCTGAGCCGGAGGCAAAACCAAATCTTCCCGAGGAAGTGGTGAAGTTCACTCAAGGAATGCAAGTCGAGGTGACAACTGACGATGAGGGTTTCAAAGGCGCTTGGTTTGCTGCAACGATCATTGAACCTTCGGGTGAAGACCAGTTCCTCATTGAGTACAAAACCCTGACAAATGACGATGATACGGAGTTTCTTAGAGAAGAAATCCGAACTTGCCACATAAGGCCTTGTCCACCGGAGACCATTATTGTGGATGGATTCAAGGTGATGGATGAAGTGGATGCTTACTATAACGAGTGCTGGTGGGTTGGTGTGATTGCAAAGGTTTTGATCAACTGCAAGTACATGGTTTACTTCAAAGATACTGATGAGAAGATAACGTTCAAGCAGGCCGATTTGAGGCCACATCAGGACTGGTTGTACGGCAAATGGGTTGTCCCTTCAAAGGTCAGAATTTTTGTTCTCTTAACTTACTACTAGCTTTTTCAGAAAATGGTTTAGTTTGTTGAATGGATCTGAACTCGGTGTATCTCAATGGATTGTGTTCTTACTTAATGTTGCAACTTGTTGCTAATTTGTTGCACATATTGAATGTGTGGAAATGTGAATGAACATCTCAAAATGTATCAGAGAACTAATAGTTTGCAGATGTTTCTCTAAGGGATTATGTGTGAAAAAGATTGATCTGTTGATTTTGAATGCTCCTAGAGTTCGGTCTAAACTAGAACTCGGGGGCTGGCTTTATCAAGGATTCTTAAAATGGAAGGATTTGTAGATGTATTTGTTTGGTTGAGTGATTAGCAGAAATGAATTATTGTAGCATACATGAGACCTCTCACAAATGTGTCCTTTCTTTTGAGAGAATTAAAATTGCTGTAGAAAGAAGAGATTTCGTATCCATTTCGAGTTGTTGCTTATTCACACAGATGATTTTATACAGTCTTTCATGTGAGAGATCATCATAGTCTCTCATTCAGAGGAACTCTTATCTGAGAAATCACCATTTTTGCTTACTGTTCTGCGTTTGAAACACGCATCCACTTGGTGGATGAGTTCGGAATCAAATTCGTTAGTACTTATGTCTGCTTCATTTTTTCCCTCAGGCTCTTAAGCAGTGATTTCTGGGACAAAGGCCAACAAGTTTTGCTGGACATAACTACATAAGCCAACTGTTGAAGGGGTCCATTCAGTTCCTTGAGAGCTGTAGCAGCAAGATGATTGAACGGTCATGAACCATTAGTCTATTGGATTTCTTGTCTGCATTCCCCTGTACAACATTCACTCGCTCTGTGTTAGGTCTTTTCTGGTTAAACAAACAATATCTGTTTTTCCTCGTGTTGAAGTTTGGATCCCTTTCAGCATGTGCCTTCCAATTGTATTATATTGAGAATGTAATTGGTCGATAGCCAAAACTGTTTCGTTAACAGCTGCAGTGAACTCTTCTCATCCAAATCTGAGTTCTTAATACATTTCAACCCACAAATGCTTCCAGGGATGTGCATTATCCAATTCGCCTAATTGCATAACCGTACCGAAACAGAGTAATCCGAACGATTTAATCCGATATGATGCAGACTGAATCGTTGCGCAGTCCAGTAACCCTTTCTCATTGCATCTTCTTGTACTTCACTCATGTCCAGATGCCAGAAACCCAAAAAAGAAACAAACTTTTCGCACAAACAGTTCCAATTTTATTATCAACGTGATGGGAGCAAAGTAGAGTACAGAGAAAACAACAGCAAGAAGCTAAAACGACAATACGAAACTGGGAATTGTCATGCTGCTAAACAGAACCCACACTTCACGCAGCAGTTAACACTTCTCTTGATCATCTCACGGGAATAGTTCTTTCTTGGAGATCCTCCACTGAATAAAGACACGAACTTTAAGCCTCCTTCACTTCGACAGAGGCTGGAGCAGCCGCAGCAGCAGCAGTTTCCTCCTTAGCCGCCGGTTCCTCAACCTCGAACACAGCAGTAGGGAAAGTCCTGTACAGCCCAGTTGGAGACTTAAACGTAACTCTCCCAGTAGACGGCTCATCGGTGTAGATATCGCAGAGGGAAACCCAAAGCAGAAGCTCCTTGGTCTTAACACCTGTAAGCTTCTTGATCTTCCCCTTTTCAACCACGGCAGTCACCTCTGGCGCATAGGTCACAAGCTTCCCAATTTTGTCGAACTTGTGAGTGATGCTCTTCTTCTGCTTCAGCCAGACGAACCCTGTCTCCCTGTTGATCCCACATTCCACGATGTCGTGAAGTGGCAGCAGCCCATTGGGGAGCTGGATCTCCTTGAGGAGCTCCTTGGATTTGGCTTGGCAGATCTCGTCGCCATTGTAGACCTCCGTGGCTTTAGCCCTGATCTCTTCTGTGACTAGAGACATCTTCTTTTGTTTCTCGTGAAGATATGGGGGAAAAAGAGCAACGTTTCTGTTCTGTGATATGATGGTGAAAGTTGGGAGGGATTTTTTGGAGAGGTAGAGTTGTGGGGCAAAAGGGGATGGCTTGCTCCATGTAGATATAGTAGTTGAGGTTATGATTTAGGCTTGGTGATGGGGCAAATTTCGGAAATGCCACTGCCCATGTTTCTTTCTTTTGTTCTGTTGAGAGTCCAAGATGAGTAGGAGGGGAGAGGACAGATAGAGAAAAAGGGTTGATTATGGTGTTTAGAGTACTTGTTAGTTTAGCTACACTTTTGTTATGTGTGGCTTGAGATGTGGTGTCATCAAGATTATCCTTCTTTGTATATGGTTTTGTGGTGTGATGAGAAAATTCACGATTGAAATGAACTTAGTTTGATTATTCGTATTTAAGTGGGTTGTTATTTGTTGTCATATGTTTTACTTAAATTATCTTGACTTACAGAGACTTCTTTTCTTTTCATTCTCTTTCTTTTCCTTTCGTAGACATTTTAGTATTTTACCTCTAAAACATGCGCCATAAAAATACAACCCAAACCTATTTAATTTTGGATTAAATAATATATTTGGATCTGACAAAATATTTCTTGTCATATGTTTACTTAGATCGTCTTGAATTAGAGGGAATTTTATCTTGTTTTCTGTCTCTCTTGCTTTTCCTTTTGTAGACATTTTACCTCTAAAACATACACCACAAAAACACAACCCAAACCTATTTGTTTTAAGATAAAATATTCTTGATCCATTTCCACGTACAAATGCTTCCAGGGATGTGCATGTCCGATTCGGCTCGTAATTGCAAAACCGAACCGAATCCGAGCAAATTCATATCACAGATAAAAGAAAAATAAGAACCTAAATTAGAATCAAAACAATATTTCACCTTATTTTCATTCAATAAGATAATTTATGAAATTAAAACCCAAAAG